CTTGTGTATAATTTATTGTAATCAATCTACCGCTTTAATAATATATCAAGTTAAGATGGTTTTAGGTATTCAAACTTGTGTATTAGAAACTGATATTGTAACCAGTCTCTCCAATTATTATTGTTGGATTTGAATAACCTTTGAAGTTGAGACTCGAAGCCTCTTGTTATCTTCTATTTAGGATTAAGAATATCCGCAGATGGATATAGACGTTTGTGGATACTACCGTTTATATTGCCAGGTGTCTCAGAACTTCCCACCGTAAACCGGTTGCAAAGTAATTGCCTCCCTAGCATCGTTGACTGCAGGATCAAAGGTGATGAATTTTCGACCCTCCCTATAAAATCGGGCCAAATTCAAAACTATTTGAAGGAAAATTCAAGAGGCCGGCTACTCTGATTGGTAATTTTCCATGGTTCCATGGCAATTAATATCAATGAAATGTCGGAGCAGTACCCTAACAAACAGGAACCGGATCGAGCACGATATTTCCTTCTTCATCCTTGCCATTTTCTCTCCCTTTTCACACACACACACACACACACACACTAAATTGCACTACACTTCCACCCATGCCGGGAGAGCTTAGAGATATTCCCGGCTGGGGCGACGCTCCTCTGGGGTGATATCTGGAGGGGGGAAACCCGCAAGCTAATGTTCAGTTCGGCATCGGATCTCACTTTCCATCGGATGAAGAACCTCTCGGGATATGACATGTGCAATACTTACGTGACTGACAATTTCAGAGCATTCACCTTCATTAAACAGTTTGGAAGAGACTGGAAGCATACTATGAATACATCTAAGGCAATCGTTTTTGGCACTGCGAATACTTCGTAAGCAAGTAGAATTGAAACTACGGTTTTCGTGATGTGAGGAAAACAGGACGAATTATTAAGCGTATTATTATTATTATTATTATTATTATTATTATTATTATTATTATTATTATTGCTGTTTTATTACATTTTTATTCAGAAAGCAACTTCTCAAAATTGCATGACAGCTCTGGGAGCTTCCTCGGTTCACAGAAACCCCGAGAGCTCTGCAGTTTCCAGCGCTGACAACTACATCAATACTCAAGAGATTTATTAATTTAAATACGGCCGATTTGTCAACTGTTCATTCACAATACGATTGCTGGTTGCCACATGTAGTCATGTAGTGATTTTGATTTCATACATCAAGTAGTTCAATGAAAGGTAATTGCCATTTTGATGATCAAATCACGATGTACATCTTTTGGTAACATTAAGGACAGCTTATTTTTTTATTTTACAATGAAGTTGATATGTAATTAATTATGTAACATACAGAAAAACAAATGTCCTTCTCAAATATTCTAATATTCTATAAGACTGGAAACAAAGCCATTATTCTCCCTCTCCCACTTTAAAATACTGGTTTTAGAGTTATATCTTACTGCTTTCTTGGTGCGTATTACATGTAACGGATTCTTTTCTAATATAATATTGCTTTCTCGCTACCTCTACAAATGTTCGTACACCCTCATTGACAAATGTTATCCTCCTTTCCACCGTAGTTCGTAATGATCCCGCATCCACTCTGAGCGTCTAGTAGTCGCCACTTTCTCTTGAAGCACGCATTGCAGTGCCGATGAGTTGCCGATAATTGTCTTTACATGATCGAAATGTGCAGTTTTGGAGTATGTTAAAAATATTACACGTTAATGGTGGCATTTTGCATAGAGGTGACCCATTAACAGAAATTGACATCTAAAATGGCTCTCTTTCACTACAAATATCACTTCCAAAACCTCCCCATTACTGCTATGTCATTCCGTTTCCAGAACAATCGATAGCTGGGGAAAGCATACGGTGCTCAGAGAGATTACTGAAATCCGTTGAGGCAGGAAGGATAGCGATTTACGTCTCTTCTTTGAGGCATAAATCACTGAAATTAAACTTTTCCTCACAGAAATTTAACTTTCTCGAAATAGCATGCCCGTTGGACACAAATGTTCAGACAAGCTACACTGCGCATCTGTGCTGAAAGACTGTCGGAACACTGTCAGCACGCTGGATCGTGAATAAGCCGAACTTTTTAATTCACAGTCAATTCCTTTTTAAAGCCGAAATCGGTATATTTTATTGATTCCTTTGTCGAATCGCTTGTTTTGCGTCATGTGTAAACGTTGTGTGTGCGGCAGAATGGACGTGCGAGCTGTTCAAGGGCCCCGCCTGAAATTGACTTTTCTGAAAAACTCTCATTTAACAAAAAAACTCCTCTCCATCCGCTCTTGTTAAAATATCAACGGAATAGAGGCACACGAGTTTATAATTAGATGATCTGACAAGAGCTGTTGGCTCAGCAAATATCGCTTTTTATGATCCTACTTGGACCCGTGCAAGCATACCACACTAAGTAAATAATTGATTTAAAAGTAAAAATAACTAGAACCCAACTAAGAGTGATCACGCCCTGTAGTCTGCATGGATAAATATTGATACACGGTTTTTAACAAACAAAAAGAGTTGTACGTTTGATTATTTTGCACAGAATACCAAAAAGTCAACTTAACTTCACGTAGAGGTCAAATATTCTGTATTCACTTGACCACTCATGTGGAGGTGCCCAGAAAATCTAAACGTTAAAAAATGCAATAGAAGGTTCAACAAGAACTTATTTTGTAGATTACGGTCAAATAAACATATTTCTATCATTTTAAGGTCCATAAAAAGGATTTAAGGGAGTAGGAAATATTGTCTTTGCGGTAAACAATTGGATTAAATTTTATATAATCTAAAAAAGCATACGAGATATTAACAAGACAGACGTTTTGAAACCACATACAGCCACTAAAATTTTCCCCACGCAGTTTATTATTATTCCTTTACTTCACGGTTAAAGATGTCATCAGTGGGTTGATTATAAAATGAACTCCCGAGTTATAACCAGCTCCGTAAGGAGCAGATCTAGGGACTGTCGGTGCTTCTACAATACTGTTCCAAATAAAGCAATGTTGTTGTTGTTGTTGTTGTTGTTGTTGAAGCTGTTGTTTCTTCCTGTTGATCCTGATTGAATGTTGTAAATACATGTTAGTATCACGCACATTTGGACCACATAGGATTAATCTTAGGTAGATTCCAGAAATTAAGACTTTAATAGTCAGTATTAACGTTTTGTATATTTTGTACGTGATTTACGTACAAAGATAACGTTAAGGTATTAATACGTAGATACGTATTAGTAGCTTAACGTTTCGTACATCTTGCATGTGCCTTGTCGAGTAATATATCAATAATAGTTGACAATAACGTAGACGATATAGTTATACAAAATACAAACAAAGGAATACAAAAATATTTTAATTCCTGGAATTTACCTAACATCGATCCTGCATGGTCCAAATCTACGTTATACTAACATCTATCTACATTATTATTATTATTGTTATTATTATTATTATTATTATTATTATTATTGACGTATAGATCATTACTGACCACGCTACTCAATTAACGTGTGAAATGTTTCCAAAATCAGCTTTTCAGCTGAATCCCAGAGTACGGCATGAAGGTTGTTACGCCTTGAAGTGCGAATAACATGATAAGATGATAATAATCGGCGAAATGACAATCACAACGACCATGTGTACGCAGGACTCGAACCTGCAGCCTCCTCGGTGCAGACGACGGCTGCTACAACTGTCTCCGCCACGGGGCGGACATTAATTATTAATTATTATTATTATTAATTATTATTATTATTAATTATTATTATTGTTGTTGTTATTGTTGTTATTAATGTTGTTTTTGTGCGTGCGGCAGAGTGGCAGTGGGAGGCGTGGGCGCTGCCCAACGGGACGCGCGCGGCCGGCGCCCGCGGGCGGGCGCCGCGCTGTGGCTGGCACCGCGGCCGCCGGACTGCTGGTGGCTGTTCGGCGGGCGAGCCGCCCGGCCTGGCACGGCGGGCGTCGCCGGCGCCGCCAAGCCTACTGCGACCTGTCGGCGCTACGACCGCGGCGGCGCGTGCCTGGAACGCGCGTGCTGTCGGCGGACGGGCGGCGCAGCGGGCCCAAGGCATGCTGCTGCTGCCGCTCCAGCGCTGCAGAGAGAGGACGACGGCACGCGGGCGAGGAGCCGCGAAGCCGCTGGCGGCGGCGCGGTCACTGGCAGGCGAGCGGCGGCCGCGGCGGCGGCGGCGCGGCCGCCGCGGCGGCGGTTCAAAGGACGGGATGGCGCCGGCCGCAGCGGGCAGGCGGGGAGGCGGTCGGGTCGCAAGCACGCCTTGACGGAGGCGTCGCCCGCCCTGCTGTGCGGTCGCGCTGATCCACAGGTACGGGGCGGCTTTTTAAAGAGGATGCGCGGGGCGGATGTAAGTGGGCCGAAAGCGGCGGTTTATTTACACGCAACTCCGTAACCGAAGCTACGAACAAGATAAAGTTTACACTTGCCGTCAGACGGGGATAGGACCATAACCTGTACCTACTTCGAGTCTTTTCTACTTTGGAGTGCGTTCTTAAGAGCCCGCTTTAGAATGCGTGTCGTTTCCAATCTGTTAATACGTAACCATTTCTGTTTTTAAGATTGCACTTTGTTATTTATTGCTGGGACATTTAATTATTTTCAATTTTTTTCGTTTCTGGTTCTATCTGCTCTGGTACATCTCTTTACAGACCTTAGGAATTTCATTTCCGTAGACTACTCCAGTTTATCTGTCTCATTCAGACTCCAGCATTCACTTCTAAATAATAAAAAGACGGCTATTACTTTATATTCTCAACAAGATTAATGGCAAGTAGTAAATTTACTAGATATGAGATGAAATAAAACTTAATGGATTAAATTAAAATTGGTGGGGAAAGACAATATTGCTCACAACGTTTTTTATTATGTTATGCTTGCTTAAAACGTTATTCATAATGAGTAATATTACTTAAAATGTAATTTTTAGTGACTGAAAATCAGTAAATGCGACTTCCAATGAAGTATACAGCATAAATGAAAACATGGGAAAGAACGTGATAAAATAGGTTAATTCGAATGCTTTTCTTGTAAATCCGTGGCAAGAATCAGGTGCATCAGATAATGATGCTTTGCGAATTTGAGAAGATTAATTTTGGAAGCACTTCTAACGAAAGCAGTAGTATATTTTCAAAATTGTCTCAAAAATTACTCCTCACTTTCTAAAAAACTAGTTACATACACTTGAGAAAGTTATTTAATGATACGTTAAAAAATTACGCTTTTGGCAGAAAAAGTCTTATTGCTAGCCTATGAAACCAAAAAAAGTGGATATTTCTTATTAAGTAATTCTTAAAATGACGACTTCTAACACGCTTGGTGGGTAGAACCCACGTTTTGTGAGTCCTAAATAACGAAAAGTTGATTTGCGGCAGAACGTCTTTCCATCTCTCCGTTCGTGTTTTGCCTGTCCGGATATTTTTGGGCGGAGGGGGAGGGTACATTACAGGAAGTGCTAATGACACTTTCAATTTTTTCAAAAATGGTTCCAATTTTTTTCTTTTAGCGCAGGTCTGATGTTCGTTGAACTCTAAATTTTTGAAAATTGCAAAACTTCAATATTGAAGATAGATATCTAATTTCTTAACGAAATCTATTCTTCAAAATTACTTCTTTAAACAAGCTCATGTACAATTTTTTGAAAATATGAGTAGTGTTTGTGTAATTTTGCGTAAAATAATCGCAATTTTTGAAAACAAAATTTTCTCAAACAATTGCTTCAGATATACTCTGTACACTTTTTGAATGTATGGATGTAAATGCACTGAATATAATGACATATGCATTATTTTGGAGTAACCTTTTAATGTTTCAAAAAGTACATACACACACACGAATTTTCAAATAATATTATAATATTACGTAATAAATAATAAGCGTTATTTTTACAAGAAATAAGATAACGAATGTTCGCGCAGAGAGAATCGCAAAATACCTTACAGGATTTTTGTATTCGAAAAGCAAAATCATTAATGTTTTATAACAGGGGAAATATGAGGAATTACGTAAAGATACTCATTAAAATGAGTCATTGGGGATGCAAGGCATCAAAAAATGAAACTATTATATTGATTAAATAAATTTTGGACAAGTAATATTTTTTTTCGAAAACACAGCATATTAAAAACATGGGACGTTGTTGATAGCCTAGATGACAAGAAAAGCCTAGATGCATGGTTGCGGGGCGACAAGAACGCATCGACTCTAAGAATGGCAATGAAACGAGTGAATGTTTTAACACGGATCGTAGGTGAAAACGAACGCCCTAACAAGAAAGAACTATATTGGATTTGATAGCGTGAGGATCTATGGCCGTGAGGGCGTCATGTAAAACCCATTTTTTTAAGTTTGTGAGATATAGAAAATGGTCATGTGGTCCACGATTATTAGAGAATAAGCGCACTAATGCGCTACAACTAATTATCGAGAAAATAATAATATTCGGGAACAATTAAGATTGCGAATTGTAGCAAAACTTATAAAGTAAATTCAGTGTGGCTATATGAAGAGCTCCAGTATGGAATTATGGAAATAGTCGCTGATCTCGTCACAACGCCAAGATTGCTAAAATATATTCGCAACGGCAAGAATAGACGATACGTTGCAAAAATGAAATGTTTAATTATAAGGTGTAAATTAAGTTATAAAAATAATTATTTTTTTCTAAATAAATATTCGATAGTCATCAAAAATAGATAACATTAGAATAAAATACCTGGACATTATTGTCAAATATTAACAACAAAAAAGGATATTGAAATAAAGAAATTCTGCAGCCGACACTTCGTGTCGCTGATAATTCCGTAACAAATTACAAAGTGTTTGATTTTTGATTACGATTAGTTAAAGGAATAAATAAAATATTTCCTAATAAATTTAAATTATCACCATCCGAATATTGAGTGGTGTTTTCTAGCCCACAAGAAGAAAGGCGAAATTACCCTGAGATATGTAAGTATGTAAACGCCCAAAACCCGTGATAAAAAGTAGAGCTAGCCACTCCATTAACTTGAATAATAAATAAGTAGGCAACGTAGGGAGAAATATAAAAGGGAATATATTTATATTAGAGAAAAGACGAATCGTCACAGTTGATTATATTGGGGAACTGCCACACTGGCATTCCCAACGCGGGGTAAAATATAGTATGTTTTAATAAGAGCGAGATGATGAACTGTCATAATGTGTTGTTGGTTCATCAGTAGCTTTTTTTAATATGTTTACATTAAAAGGAATCTGTAACGATAAATATGGTAAATGTTCGATTTTCATTAAAACCTCTGTTTTTGCGAAAATTGAAACATTTAAACTTCATTTCAAACCGGCTACATCATTATTGAAGCTAGATATTTCTTTCTTAATGCAATATACTTTACTCATGTTTTAATATATTAGTATTTTGGGGGAATTTTGTGACAACTCCTGACCACTTTCTAAAAATTCCTCAATGATTGGTTTAAGACCGCTCAATTTTCTTCATTAAAGTTTTTTTAAATGTTACACAACACAAATGCCATTTTCATTAAGACATTTCATTTTTTTAAATTAAATGTATATTTTTAGAATGTTTCACACATTGTTTGGTAACGAGAGTTTGTTAAGATATATGACTAAAATTTTAATAGAATAGATGGCAATATTCTAATATTAAAGAAGTTTTACAAATATTATGAGAAATAATGAGCTGTTGTATCACTACTATATTCAGTATTATGCAGGTAGTTTGAGAGATTATGAACATTTGGAACGCACACCTGCAACGTAACAGGATGATTAGTTCTTTAAATGGCTCTTGTAAAACTTCAATTTCCATGCTAAAATATATTCCCTCATCATCATACTAGGTTTACATGAAATTCTAGGTTCCTTCTATTCCGCATCTGCACCCTAATTAACGTTCACGGCAATTTCAAAGGAAATAATTGTGACACAAAACGATTGCTAAATGCATTTCACAACGAACGAGACATGAGAAAATTTTTCATTGTTACGGGAATATTCATTACGGACATAATGGCCACCAATTATTTTAAATGCCAGTTTATTTCGTTATCCGAAAGGTTGCATTATTACAACAAACATTTTCAACTGTGAAAGTAATGATACTAATAACAACAATAATGACAATAACAATAATAATACAAATAATATATAACACTAAGGTTTTCGTTTAGAAAGGAATTTTAATGTGTTATGACTTGTTCTAATTAACTGATTTTATAGTTAATGCATTACATTTTAATAACATATTTAAATTAAGAAAATGAATACTTATGAATACTGTCGTCATTTCTTATTAGGTCATTTTCAACCTCCACTTACAGTTTAATACACACAAAAGTATCCTTGCATCATCAGGATACAATTGAAGGGTTTCTCGAAAAAAAAGCGTTAGCCTAAATTTTAGAAAATGATGCCACCTTGTAGTGTGAACTTTTATCCATCAGAGGATAATATCAACTCGGTCTAAAGTGCATTAAAGTGAAGAAAAAAAAAGACCGACGAAAAACAGGAGTGCTAGGAAGGAGGACGGTTTTTCTCATTTCCCACACATTGGATTTTTGGACTAATGCTTTTTTTTCAAGCCCTTCAATTCAGTAATTATTTCAAGTTCAAAGATGTTTTTAAATTCTGTTTTTAAATTCAAAGTTTAGTGAGTGTATAAATGGAATGTGTAGCAATCGTCTGACACGTGTAACCCTTTAAAAAAAGTTCATTGGTTCGTTATAATGACAAGTGATGCTTTGCCTTTTTAAGTAGAGATGGATAGGAGGATATCTTTTAGTCAGAGTAAATCATTAGGTCATTCCACTACAACATACATGAACAGATAGGTAAAGATTCATTTCAATTACATTTTCAGAGTTCTCAGGAAATGGCGACTGTATTGCTTAAGAATTTGTAAACTTCTCTCATTTCATCAAATTTGGAGAATAAGAATGGCATGGAGCTACATTTTGTTTTTCTTTTTTTATATTTTGTATGGTGCATAAGTAGAACTTTTCGGTTGCTTTTTTACACTCTTTCTTTACTGCAACGTAATGGAAGAGGTTCAATTCGTATTAATACAGTGATTTTAATCGTGCGTTCCAATCGACAAAATTGTGTTACAGAGAATAATAAAAGCAATATGTAATTAAAGGTATAGTTCATCAATATTAATATTTAATATCCATTGACACACAATTTTCTCGATTACATTTTGATATTGAAATCAAACGATTTAATTATATTGGTATGCCATTGTCTTTTAAATAAAGTGTTTGTCGAATTTACTGCGAAATTTGTAATTAGAATACTTAATCATGTTTT